TGGACTGCCTGAGCTCAAGGGTTCGAGACCCTCCTGGCAACTTGGCGAGACCTCATCTCTACAATAAATCAAAAATTAGCCGGGTGTGGTAGTGCGTGCCTTTAGTTCCGGCTACTTGGAAGGCTGAAGTGGAAGGATCACCAGAGCCCAGCAGGTCGAGGCTGTGGTGGCCGGGAGTGTGCATTCCAGTCTGGGCGACAGAGTGAGACTCCAACTCAATAATAATAATAATAAAATACATTTTTTTGTGTGAGTTGGAGTCTCACTCTGCCATCCAGGGTGGAATGCAGTGACATACTCACGGCCACACCAGCGTTGACCAGCTGGGCTCTGGCGATCCTTCCGTCTCAGCCTTCCAAGTAGCCAGAACTACAGGTGTGTGGCTAATTTTTTTTTTTTTTTTAATTTTATTGTAGAGATGAGGTCTTGCCAAGGTGCCTGGGCTGGTCTCGAACCCGCAAGCTCAGGCAATCCACTCACCTCGGCCTCCCAAAGTGCTGGGATTACAGGCTGAGCCACCGAGCCCAGCCTAAAATAAAAATCGTAAAACTATTATATACCAGTGAATTCTGTGGTATTATGATATTGGCCTGCCTGTCATGTATTTGCTAGTTTGGGAAATAAAAGGGCCACTACTTGATGTAGGACCAGTGTTTCTGGGGGTAGGGTGTGGGGAGGTGTGAAGGAAAGAGAGACATGAAGGTTGACTCCAGGCTGGTGACTGAGGATGTGATACCAACCATTGAGAGAGAGAGAATACAGAAGGAGAAACAGAGGGTACAGTGGCCTCACACCTGTAATTTCAGCACTTTGGGAGGCCAAGAGAGGAGGATTGTCTGAGCCCAGGAGTCGGAGACCCACCTGGGCAACAAAACAAGACCTCATCTCTACAAAAAATTTAAAAATTAGCTGGGCATGGTGGCTCGTGCCTGTAATCCCAGCTACCAAGGAGGCTGAAATGGAAGGATCACCTGAACCCAGGAGTTTGAGGCTGCAGTGAGATGTGACTGAGCTACTGCACCCCAGTCTGAGTGACAGAATGAGACCTCAACTCAAAAAAAAGAAAGAAAGAGAAACAATTTAGGGGCAAGATGAGGCACCTCTAAGAAATTCAGGTCTCCAGGGATGTCGCTTATATTGCTGAATGGGTATGTACCTGATGGGAAGAATCTGGGCCTGAGATAGAGATCGATTTAGGAGTTACTGACAGAGAGCTGATTGTTGAAACCACGAGAGTGGAGATGATTTCAGTGTCAAATTCAGGGAGGCAGATGCAGCTTGATTAGAGCTGGAAAATGTCTGCTCCATTTGGAATGAGCATATTGCTGGTGGCTTCAGTGGGTGCGTTTTCAGTGGCACGGCCGATATAAAACCAGACTCAGAAAGAGGTGGACCCAGGTGGGTCTCCGACTCCTAGGCTCAAAGAAGTGGAGACAGAATAGGCATTTCCCAACCAAGACCTTTGATGAAAAGAAAAGAGAGTAGCTAAGAAGCGGGCCACTGCAACAGAGTTTTTGCTTGTTTTGTTCTGCTTTGCTATTTGGGGGCATGTTTAAAAGTTGTGTTTAGGGCCGGGCGCAGTGGCTCAAGCCTGTAATCCCAGCACTTTGGGAGGCCTGAGCCCAGGGGTTCAAGACCAGCCTGGGCAACTTAGTGAGACCGCGTCTCTACAATAAATAAAAAAACTGACCAGGCATGGTAGTGCATGCCTGTAGTTCCAGCCACTTGGAAGGCTGAGGCGGGCGGATCACCGGAGCCCAGCAGGTTGACGCTGGGGTGGCCGTGAGCGTGCCACTGCATTCTAGCCTGGGTGACAGATTGAGGCTCCAACCCCCCCCCAAAAAAAGTAGTGATGAGCATCAACAGAGGGGGCATCAACAGAGGAGGCAGGGATTACTCTAAAGGAAGAGAGGACTGGGAAGTCAGCCGGGAGGCTGGCTCTCCCTGCATGAAACCCCCTTTTCCCTTCAGCTTGCTTAGATGTTCCAAATTTAGAAAGCTTAAGGCGGCCTCCAGAAAAAGACAAAGAAAAAGGCCACAAAAGTTCCCTCTCACTTTCAGTAAAACAAAAAATAACAGCAGCATACAGAAATAAAGAAATAAAAATGAAATAAATATTGTGCTGTGCAGAATTTAAAAAATTAAAATTAAATGTGAGGAAAAAAAGGTGAGGACATGTAGGCATGAACATGCTTGAAGATGAGTCTCAGCAGCTTTGTCAAATTTCTGCACGTGTCATGAGTAGAGGGACTAATTGCACTTTGTCCCAGTCTGTCTTTTCAAGATTGTTGGTATTGCAAACAGCTTTGGAAGATACAGATAGCCCCTAACTCTGGAGCAGGGGACAGATTTTTTTTTTTTTGAGTTGAAGTCTCACTCTGTCTCCCAGACTGGAGTGCAGTGGCACACTCCTGGCCACCACAGCCTTGACCTGCTGGGCTCCAGTAATCCTTCTGCCTCAGCCTTCCAAGTAGCTGGAACTACAGGCGTGCACTACCACGCCCGGCTAATTTTTGATTTATTGTAGAGAAGAGGTCTTGCCAAATTTCCCGGGCTGGTCTCGAACCTGCGGGCTCAGACACTCCACTTGCCTCAGTCTCTCAAAGTGCTGTGATTACAGGCTAAACCACCGAGCCTGGCCCAGATTTTCGTAAATAAAGGTAACGTCTTCCTCTAGGGCAAGGGCAGGTTTGCTTGCATCCCATAATAAAAGATGCTGGTTCCCTTGGCTCAGGGTTTCTTTGCTATGCTGCAAACCCACTGTATGTGCAGCACCCACCTGGATCTCTCGGCCCCACCTTCATGGGGCTTGAGAAATAAGTAGAAGTGACATAAACATGATGCCTATGTCGTGAGTAATAAAGGCCTTTGTCTCTGAGCCAGGAGTCTCATGTCTTCTGCTAGCATCCACAGAACTATGGCAGGCTAGCCTGTTAGTTTACATGTAGAGCAAGATCTCAGACGCTGCACAATTCTTTATTTTATTTTTTATTATTTATTGATATATAGAGACAAGATCTTGTCATACTGCACAGGCTGGTCTCAAACTCTTGGCCTCAAGCAATTCTCCCACTTCAGTCTCCTGAGCTGCTGGAATTACAGGCATGATCCTAGGCCCTACAGGATGAGCCACTGCACAATTCTTTTTTTTCGAGTTGGAGTCTCACTCCATCACCCAGGCTGGAGTGCAGTGGTATGTTCACGGTCACCCAGAATTGACTTGCTGGGCTAACGCAATCCTTCTGCCTCAGCCTTCCAAGTAGCCGGAATTACAGGCGTGCACTACCACGCCCAGCTAATTTTTTTATTTATTGTAGAGATGATGTCTCA